AAAAAAAATTAGGTGGGTGTGGTGGCATGCACCTATAGTTCCAGCTACTCACGAGGCTGAGGTGGGAGGAGAGCTTGAGCCCAGGAGGCGAAGACTGCAGCAAGCTGAGATCGCACCACTGCATTCCAGTCTGGGTTACACAGCGAGACCCTGTCTCAAAATCATCATCATCATCATCACCATCATCTGTGTCTTTTAAAACTCAGGTGATTTTTCTTTTTTTTTGAGATGGAGTCTTGCTCTGTCACCAGGCTGGAGTACAGTGGCACAATCTTGGCTCAAAGCAAGCGCCACCTCCCCGGTTCAAGCGATTCTCCTGCCTCAGCCTCTTGAGTAGCTGGGATTACAGGTGCCCACTACCACACCTGGCTAATTTTTGTATTTTTAGTAGAGGCACGGTTTCACCATGTAGGATAGGCTGGTCTTGAAGTCCTGACCTCAAGTGATCTGCCCGCCTCAGCCTCCCAAAGTGCTGGAATTATAGGCATGAGCCACCATGCTTGGCCACTAAAAACTCAGGTGATTTAAATGCTATGCTTAAAGGATGATTACACAAATTAATGGAGGGTACTTATACAAATCACTCAATTTCTACTTACTGTCTCTGCCCCCCAAGACACTCTCAGTATACCTTTGAAAAGCAAAGTTTTCAATATCATTTCTCAACTGACATCTTTTCATTTTTCAAATCTCAGTTCTATGAATGGTGAGGGAAGAGAAAATTCAAATACATAAAAATGTTTTACCAGGCACTAACCCCAAATAGTCAGCCAGGCCTTTTTTCTGCTGTAAGAGGCAAATTGCATGGGATGAAGAAAAAGTAACTCCTCCCTGTTTTTGCCAAGATGCCTGCTATACTGGGCTTCCCCAGTTAGGGTATATGATCTTACTTCTCTGCTCAATGTGCTATAGTTGCTATTTCCTTATTATCTTTCTAGAGTTCGGAGAATATGATTAATTAAACCTAATGACCATGAGTTTTCAGAGTGGTTCCATAGGAGCTTAGTGAACCTGCATTACAGGTAGAAAGTCAAGGAACAGCTATGAGGAAGATAATAGGGATGAATCTTTTTCGTTATCTCTTACCCCACCTCTCTCAACACCATTAATCCCCTTAATCTTCATAGTTAAGAAGAGAGTTGGATTTTCCTTCAATCCACTAGAAATGAGAACAGAGAACAATTGCTCCCTCCTACTACATCTGCCAACCCAAGGATTTCTGTACTGAGAAAAAGAAATAAGAAACAGGGTCAGGGCCAGTGGCTCATGCCTATAATCTCAGCACTTTGGGAGGCTGAGGTAGGAGGATCGCTTGAGCTCAGGAGTTCAAGATTAGGCTGGGCAACATGGCGAAACCCTGTCTTCACAGCAAATAGAAAAAATCAGCCAGGCATGGTGCCCCTGCCTCTAGTATCAGCTACTTACGGAGCTGAGGCAGGAAGATTGCTTGAGCCTGGGAGGTCAAGGCTGCAGTGAGCCAAGATTGTGCCACTGCACTCCAGCCTGGGTGAAAGAGCGAGAACCTATCTCAAAAAAAATAAATAAATAAAATAAGAAACAGCTGCATTAGAGCATTACCCTCTTCAAAAGCCTCCTTTCTCATCTCTGAGGCATTCTCTCTAACGAAAGAAAAAGTATATGTAAGACATAGTTAAAAAACAAAAAACAAAACAAAACCCAAAAGATCATTACCTTATTCTGTTATAGCCAAGCACTGTAGTTTGGGATCTTTAAAAAGTAAAAAAAAATAAAAAAATAAATTAGTCTGGCTGGGCGCAGTGGCTCATGCCTATAATCCCGGCCACTTTGGGAGGCTGAGCAGGGAGGATTATGAGGTCAGGAGTTTGAGACCAGACTGGCCAACATGGTGAAATCCTGTCTCTATTAAAAAATACAACAATTAGCTGGGTGTGATGGCACACACCTGTAATCCTAGCTACTCAGGAGGCTGAGTTAGAATTGCTTGAACCAGGGAGGCAGAGGTTGCAATGAGCTGAGATCCCGCCACTGCACTCCAGCCTGGGTGACAGAGCAAGACTCCAGCTCAGAAAATAAATACATAAATAAATAATAAATTAGTCCAATTTTTATTTAAATATGCATTCTGTGATCTGATTAATACTATAGAAGATATTTTTCAGTGTGCTATGAAGAAAGTTCAATTCAGCTTTTCTTCTATATAATTTTTATCATGGGGGATGAGATAGAGAAACTTTTAAAATTTCCTACAAATATTTTCAGGGCTGGTCAACCGAATACATAACCAAAAAACTATTAAAGTTTATTTACTTCACTAAAACAGAAGTCTCATTATCTCCTAAACTTCCTATTCTGTTATCTCCCACGCTAATAGTTTTTTCCCCTGAATCAACAGGACAGTTGAATAAAGGGATTTCTTACTGAATACATTTCTAAGATAAAATATTATTGTGAACATATTTTTACCATGTTCTTCAAGTACATCTTAAAATACTGGATATCCTATTTTATATTTTTTACATCATTCAGATATACAATTTTGGAAAGCCAAAATAATTGAAAAATTATTTTCCTTTCTAAGTGGCTTTGAAAATAAGATGTTTATCCTTCAATAATCACTACTTATGAAAAATATAAAATTTTGACAACGTGCATCTGAAAAATTTCAACATTTAGCTGCAGTCTAGTTGGAAAGAAGTCAATATTGCAAGTATACCATACTACTTCCAGCAAAAAATTGTGGATAACATTTGAGCAGTTTCTAGTGCCAGGGACTTTATTTGATCTTCGTACTCACTCTATGAAGTAGGGAATTTATTTTAACAATAAGGACACTGAGGCTTTAAAGAGGCTAATTTATCCAGATTAATAGGCAGACAGAGGCAGAGACAGAATTCACACCCAGGTTTCACAGACTGCAAAGTCAGAAAGGCTGAGTTGTAATTTCATCTCCTATATGGAGAATATAAAATATCTGGAAGGATGTTAATAAAAATAATAACCTTTGTTACTTCTAGGTAGAGTCTCTAGTGATTTTTTTTTTTTTTTTTTTTTTTTTTGAGACAGAGTCTCGCTCTGTCGCCAGGCTGCAGTACAGTGCCACAATCTCGGTCACTGCAACCTCCAACTCCCTGATTCAAGCGATCACCACGTCCAGCCTCTAGTGATTTTTTTTTCTTTTTTACTTTCCTTTTCATCCTTTTACACACTATTTGCATTTCTTATAATGAGTAAAATTTTTTTTTTTTTTCTGAAAAAACAAGGAAATTAAGCTCTAGGAAAAAAAAAAATCAAAACAAACAAACATACAAAAACCAGTTACTCTGGGGCCAGGTGGGGTGGCACAGGCCTGTAATCCCAGCACTTTGGGAGGCCAAGACGGGCAATCGCCTGAGGTCAGAAGTTTGAGACCTGCCTGGCCAACATGGCAACACCCCGTCTCTACTAAAAATGCAAGAATTAGCTGGCAGTGGTGGCAGGTGCCTGTAATCCCAGCTGCTCAGGAGGCTGAGGCAGGAGAATCACTTGAATCTGGGAGGCTGAGGTTGCAGTGAGCCGACATCACGCCATTGCACTCCAGCCTGGGCGACAAGAGCAAGACTTCATCTCAAAAAAACAAACAAAGACCAGTTACTCTGTACTTGAGTTTTGAGGTCCTCAAAATAGTGTTCCCCATGTTCAAGTGGGAGTAAAGGATATTAAAAGTAGGAGGAGGCTGGGCGCAGTGGCTCACACCTATAATCTCAGCACTTTGGGAGGCCGAGGCAGGTGGATCACCTGAGGTCAGGAGTTTGAGACCAGCCTGACCAACAGGGAGAAACTCCATCGCTACTAAAAATACAAAATTAGCTGGACATGCTGGCATATGCCTGTAATCCCAGCTACTCAGAAGGCTGAGGCAGGAGAATCTCTTGAACCCAGGAGGCAGAGGTTGCAGTGAGCTGAGAGCACACCACTGCACTCCAGCCTGGGCAACAAGAGCGAAGCTCTGTCTCAAAAAAAAAAAAAAAAAAGGAGGAGGAAAAGCAAGATAGTATAGAGGGAAGTGCTTCTGAACAGACTCATACAGAAGCCACAAGGTAGGTCCTCTAGCCTACCATCCTTCTCTTAAAGCTCAATCCACCTAAATGTTTATCTCTTTTGACCCAAAGACTCTCACTATGAATTTACCTTAAGGAAAAGCTATGTGCAAGAACTCATCCATGGCAGCATTACCTTTAATGGAGGAAAAATTAGAAACAACCTAAGAGTCTAAAGTCAAGGCCTAGCAGTAAATTACAAAGATCTGATAGAAGCAATTACAGTATTTTAAAATATCGTAAAGTCTCTAAAAAGTCCTATAACCCATAAAAAGAACTATCTGTAATTATGAATTAAACACCAACATCTATCCTGAATTTACATAGGCTCTAAAAACAGGAAGTCCTAATACTGCTAACTTTGAGACCTTCTGCCTTATATTTAATCCAAAACATTTATATGCTTTAAGATATTTTCTTGTGTTTTGGCCTCAGAGAATGCAAAGGGTCACTGGCTGCCCGTAAGCCTGTGTAGTGATACTTCCTATACCAGGAAGGTGATTATGCTTTAATAAAATAGAAGTCCTTCATATGCAGTTTTCTGAAGCAATCTTTGGAGATTGGCTTACTAACTCTCACAGTTCCTTGCAGTATATATATATGGACTTAAATGAATTATCTAAGTTCAGCTGAGGATTCCAAATACACAAAGCCCAGAAAACCTGGCTGCTGGTCTCATGCTATTAACTCATAATGTGACTGATCTCAGCTACCCAATTCATGCTCCTGCCAGACATGACTGATAATAACAATCCACCTTGATTATTATAGGTAGCTGAACCCAGGTTTAAAAGAAATCAACTTTAAATACATTCCACAATGCTTTACAGAAGCAAAACAAAAACAAGCAAACACAAAACAAACCAGAAAAATGAAAATTATTAAAAAGCTGATTTTTGCTTAAAACACCAAGCAAGAAATGGACATATGAATATTCCTAACCTGCAAAATGATTCCTCCACATTATATCAGCGAAACTCATTGGTGGGCCACTGGGAGGGTAGTGTTTACCTTTCAGAGGCTCATGATCAGTCCTTATCATATCCATTAAGGAGTTCTCCAACGAGTGCAAGTTAAAAGTATCATAGGGCCTACTCCGGTCCTAAAAATAAAAACAAAAACAAGACAATACATAAAATTACTTCATAAAATTAACACCATATCATTTGCTTCCTGCTGTGGAATGATGACATGAATGAAAGTTACAGAGAGCCCTAATAGCATACAGTCCTTCTTTTTATTTGTTTATTTATTTACTTTGTAGAGATGGGGTCTTGCTATGTTTCCCAGGCTGGTCTCGAATGTCTAGGCTCAAGCAATCCTCTTGCCTTGGCCTCCCAAAGTGCTGGGATTACAGACATGAGCTACTGCGCTGATCCTGCTCTCTTCATTAAGAATAATGACTTGCCACACCTGTAACCCCAGCATTTTGGGAGGCCAAGGTGGGCAGATCACTTGAGGTCAGGAGTTCGAGACCAGCCTGGCCAACCGGGTGGAACCTCGCCTCTACTAAAAATGCAAAAAGTAGCCAGGTGTGGTGGTGCGCACCTGTAATCCCAGCTACTTGGGGGGCTTGAGGCAGGAGAATCACTTGAACCTGGAAGGCAGAGGTTGCAGTGAGCCGAGATCATACCACTACACTTCAGCCTGGATGACAGAGAAAGACTCCATCTCAAAAAAAAAGGAATAATGATTTGGCAACATTAAGTTTAATATAAGTCTCCATAACTAATTAAATTGCATCATCTCCCCTAATATTCTATAACGTAATGTAGTTCAGAGTGACTTTCTTGCAAATGAACTAAAATAGTAAATTTAAAAGGAAGAGTCAAGTTAATTGGTTTTGCTTTCTACCCTCCACCCAATAACTTCATTGTCAAATGAACACAGATGTTTCCCCCCTAGAGGAAGACCGTAATTTTTTTTTTTTTTTTTTTTTTTAAGACAAGGTCTTGCTTTGTTGCCCAGGTTGAAGTACAGTGGTGCAATCATGGCTCACTTCAGCCCTGACCTCCTGAGCTCAAGTGATCCACCCACCTCAGGCTCCCTAGTAGCTAGGACACATGTCGCCATGCCCAGCTAAAATTTTTTTTTTTTTTTTTAGAGATGGGGTTTCACTATGTTGCCCAGGCTGGTCTAGAATTCCTGACTGCAAATGATAAAGACCACAATAATTAAGAACTCAGATGGAATCATTTTCCTGAAAAACTAAAGGGCGACTATAATTTCAATGAAAATGTATTGGATATCTTTAACATTTCTGACCAGTAAGTTACATATATGGATACACTTTTTAAAAATAAAAATGTGGCTGGGCGCAGTGGCTCACACCTGTAATCCCAGCACTTTGGGAGGCCAAGGCAGGCAGATCACGAGGTCAAGAGATTGAGACCATCCTAGCCAACATGGTGAAACCCTGTCTCTACTAAAAATACAAAAATTAGCTAGGCGTGGTGGTACGTGGACATGCCTATAATCCCAGCTATTCAGGAAGCTGAGGCAGCAAATTGCTTGAACCCAGGAGGCGGAGGTTGCAGTGAGCCAAGATCACGCCACTGCACTCCAGCCTGGCGACATAGCTAGATTCCATCTCAAAAAGTAAAACTAAAAAATAAAAATAAAAATGTGTTTAAAGTTGTATTCATGAAGATAATGGCAAAAAGAAAAAAAAAAATTTAATGTGTCCAAAGTACTAAAATTATCTTTTGAAAAGCACTCACATGAAGAAACTTTAACCCAAAGAAGTATTTTCAAGATGTTACATTCAAAAACATTTTGAAACTAGAAATCTAACACAAACTAAAGAAAAAAGTGTTATTTCACCACATTTCACTCACGCCTTCAAGAGACTATCACCTACAAACTCTTCTTAGTACTCTGAGCCTCAAGGGAAGCATAGCTCATGTTCTAAGTTAATACTAAAGAACAGATCAAGTTTGCTTTGGTTAAGAAAAGCAAGGCAAGCATACATCTCAACAACCAAACCAAGTCAACCTACAGTGATGAGAGATTATTTTCAGGGTCTTGAACAGTCTTTTCCAGCTTTGCATTTGATCATTTATCCTCTTCTATGGATAACACTCACCCATTACCTATCTCTCCCCTTGGATAGGAAAGAGACAAGGAATATTTTCTTTGGTTCTCTACTTTGGTCTCTATACAATCTAAAAAGGTATTTTCTTTTAGATTTAAAGTCTTCCTGCAGATCATTTGTTTTGCTCCGGGTTCAAGTTATTAGTGGAAACTCTAAGGAGTAAAGCTGAATTTCCAGAAACGCAGGCTTATCTGTACCCATAAGAGTGTCTATCATATACTTTGTCCAAAGAAAAAGCCAGAGGTAAAGAAGCATACTGATGAGGAGGCAAAATGATAACCTATTTCTGGCACTAACAATCCCAAAATGAATTATCTAGGAGCCCTCTATCACATCCACACTTCTAACTAGAACTCTGAAGACATGAGAGTGTTTCAGAATAGACTGACATGGTAAGGGAACTATAAGAAAAGGCTATTTGAAGGCATTCAAGAATCTTTCCAGACAGGACAGTTTATTTTTTCATTTAATTACTGATAATCCCTCAAGGTAGATAACAACATACCCATTTTACACATGAAGAAGGCAAGGTGCAGAGAAGATACAAGAGCCCTCAATGCCAAAACCTAAGGAGTATAAAAATCTGGCCAAAGAAATTAATTAAATCCATGGTTACTTCTATAGAAAAACTGCACTGTAACTAACTGCACATTCCTGCCAATGTAACAGTGAGTTCCTATCACAAATGGATATCAGACATTAGATGACTACCTGTCAGGAAAATTAAAAGAGGATTTTGGGAGGAGGGATTCATGTAACTAAACTGAAATGGTTCCCAAACCTGTCAGACTGTCAAAAATCACATGTAGAGCCGATTAAAACACAGATTCCTGGGCTCCAGCTCAAACCTACTTAATCGTAATTTAAAACAAAATAAATTCTATGACTAGCTAGAGCCACTAAACTGGATGATTCTTCAAGTTAAGCCTTTACACCCATGATTCTGTTCAGTAAAATTAGACAGTAAAGTGAGGGCAGGGACCAGTGTGAGCAGCAGGCAATAAACAAGCCTGGCCACCTTGTAGAGGGTCAGTTTTGCAGTCTTCTGATTTACTGTGTATTAGAGAAGCAGTTGGTGGCCTAGTTTTTAAAAGCACAAATTTTAAAATCAAAATCCAATTTTCAAATTTTGGCTCTCCCACTTACTGGCATGTCACTTTGAATATGTTTCTAAGCCTTGGTTATCTTCATCTATAAAATGGGATAATTTTTCGGGTGCGGTGGCTCATGCCTGTAATCCCAGCACTTCAGGAGGTCAGGGCAGGCGGATCATGAGGTCAGGAGATCGAGACCATCCTGGCTAACATGATGAAACCCCGTCTCTACTAAAAATTCAAAAAATCAGCCAGGCACGGTGGCATTTGCCTGTAGTCCCAGCTACTTGGGAGGCTGAGGCACAAGAATCGCTTCAACTGGGGAGGCGGAGGTTGCAGTGAGCCGAGCTCATGCCACTGCACTCAGCCTGGGCAAGAGGGCAAGACTCTGTCTCAAAAAAACAAAACAAAACGAAAAGTGTAGCCAGGTGTGGTGGCAGGTGCCTGTAATCCCAGCTACTCGGGAGGCTGAGGCAGGAGAATCACTCAAACCCAGGAGGTGGAGGTTGCAGTGAGCCTAGATCGCGCCACTGCACTCCAGCCTGGGCAACAAAGTGAGACCCCATCTCAAAAAAGAAAGGGGGAGGGATAATTCTCTCTTCACGGTTTCTTCAGTACTAAATAACAGAACATACAGGCATCTGCACCATGGTGGCTACCATAATATTAGGGAGAGCACAAAAAGATTTCTGTGATGCCATCTCAAGAGTACTGAAAAATGAATTTTTAAACCTAGCAGTTCACAGATACTAACCTAACAGGGTTCACTAATGCTCAACAGATGAAAACATATGACATGTGAAAGGCATGACAGAATTTACACAGGCTTAATTAAACTAACTTCAGGCCTCTGAGAGTTCTCATTAAAATTAATTCCATCCATGCCTCATCAACTTATATTTGCCGCATACCATTCATCCTTTTTGTTTTAGAAGTAGTAAACGTTGCTGAAATAAGTGATTAACCAGGAAGTCTGCAAGAAACAGAACAAAAAGGATAGAAAAAACAGAAAAATCTACAGTGGAATTCATCAACAGAAATTATGTATACAGAAAACTCAGCCACAATTTATCATTCAATGACAAAGGTTACAAGTGGTAACTAACCTGTTAGGTCTTTTTTCATAAGTTTTGTTTCCCAATATAGAGAAACAGGAAAACATCATTATTTGTTTTTAACAAGCAAACACACCAAGAAGTATTAGAACATCTATAAATAATGCAGCCCATTATTGACTTTCTTTGCAGATAATCAATGAAGATGTTGTCAGTTAGTTGTACACAAAACAACTCACCTCCACTGCATTAGTCCTCTCCTTCTTCCCTCAGCTGGATTTAATATTAATAAATTTATCAAGCATTTAATATGTGCCTGTCACTGTTCTAAGTATGCTTATGCATTATCTCACAGCCCTATTAAGTAGGTAGCTTTTGTCCCATTTTATAAATTAAACAATTTTAAGTCGCTGGGTGCGGTGGCTCACGCCTGTAATCCCAGCACTTTGGGATTACTGAGTGGGTGGATTGCAACATCAGGAGTTCAAGACCAGCCTGGCCAACATAGTGAAACCCCATCTCTACTAAAAATACAAAAATTAGCCGGTGTGGTGTCATGTGTCTGTAGCCCCAGCTACTTGGGAGGCTGAGGCAGGAGAATCGCTTGAACCCAGAAGGCGGAGGCTGCAGTGAGCCAAGACCACGGCATTGCACTCCAGCCTGGGTAACAGAGTGAGACTCCATCTCAAATAAAATAAAATAAAAATTAAGTCTGGGAGAGAATAAATACCTGGCTCAAGGTTACAGGGATAGTGAGTGGCAGAGCCAGGGCTCAAATCCAGTCAAATCCAGACTGCTCTTAAGCATTCTCATTGTACTGCTTCCCTGACCTCCTCCTATTCCGTCTAGCCTTAAATCC